AAACACTCCTCAGGAAATGCAACAGAATGGAAATCAACAGTCTCTCAGACCACAGTGCAATCAAATTAGAACTCAGTATTAAAGAACTCACTCAAAACCACACAACTACATGGAAACTGAACAACCTGCTCCTGAATGACTACTGTGTAAATAATGAAATTAAGGCAGAAATAAAGAAGTTATTTGAAACCAATGAGAACAAAGACACAACGTACCAGAATCTCTGGGATACAGCTAAAGCAGTGTTTAGAGGTAAATTTGTAACACTAAATGCCCACAGGAGAAAGTGGAACAGATCTAAAATCGACACCCTAATGTCACAATGAAAAGAACTAGAGAAGCAAGAGCAAACAAATTCAAAAGCTAGCAGAAGACAAGAAATAACTAAGATCAGAGCAGAACTGAAAGAGATAGAGACATGAAAAACCCGTCAAAAAAATAAATGAATCCAAGAGCTGGTTTTCTGAAATGATCAACAAAATAGATAGACCGCTGACCAGACTAATAAAGAAGAAAAGAGAGAAGAATCAAATAGACACAATAAAAAAAGATAAAGGGGATATCACCACTGATCCCACAGAAATACAAAGTACCATCAGAGAATACTATTAACACCTCTACACAAATAAACTAGAAAATCTAGAAGAAATGGATAAATTCCTGGACATATACACCCTCCCAAGACTAAACCAGGAAGAAGTCGAATCCCTGAATAGACCAAAAACAAATTCTGAAATTGAGGCAGTAATTAATAGCCTATCAACCAAAAAAAGCCCAGGGCCAAATGGATTCACAGCCAAATTCTAGCAGAGGTACAAAGAGGAGCTGGTACCATTTCTTCTGAAACTATTCCAAACAATAGAAAAAGAGGGACTCCTCCATAACTCATTTTATGAGGCCAGCATCATCCTGACACCAAAGCCTGGCAGAGACACAATAAAAAAAAAAAATTTCAGGCCAATATCCGTGATGAACATCAATGAGAAAATCCTCAATAAAATAATGGCAAACCAAATCCAGCAGCACATCAAAAAGCTTATCCACCATGATAAAGTCAGCTTCATCTCTGGGATGGAAGTCTGGTTCAACACATGCATATCGATAAATGTAATCCAACACATAAACAGAACCAATGACAAAAACCACATGATTATCTCAATAGATGCAGAAAAGGGCTTCAATAAAATTTAACATCCCCTCACGCTAAAAACTCTCAATAAACTAGGTATTGATGGAATGTATCTCAAAATAACAAGAGCCATTTATGACAAACCCACAGCCCATATTATACTGTATGTGCAAAAGCTGGAAGCATTCTCTTTGAAAACTGGCACAAGTCTCACCACTCCTATTCAACATAGTATTGCAAATTCTGGCCAGGGAAATCAGGAAAGAGAAAGAAATAAAGGGTATTCGAATAGGAAGAGAGGAAGTCAAATCGTCTCTGTTTGCAGATGACATGATTGTATATTTAGAAAACTCCATCGTCTGAGCCCAAAATCTCCTTAAGCTGATAAGCAACTTCAGCAAAGTCTCAGGATACAAAATCAATGTGAAAAAAATCACAAGGATTCCTATACACCAATAATAGACAAACAGAGAGCCAAATCATGAGTGAACTCCCATTCACAATTGCTACAAAGGAACAAAATACCTAGGAATACAACTTACAAGGGATGTGAAGGACCTGTTCAAGGAGAACTACAAACCACTGCTCAAGGAAATAAGAGAGGACACAAACAAATGGAAAAACATTCCACGCTCATGGATAGAAAGGATCAATATTGTGAAAATGGCCATACTGCCCAAAGTAATTTATAGATTTAATGCTATCGTTACCAAGCTACCACTGATTTTCTTCACAGAATTAAGAAAAACCACTTTAAATTGCATATGAAACCAAAAAAGAGCCCGCATGGCCAAGGCAATCCTAAGCAGAAAGAACAAAGTTGGACGCATCACACTACCTGACTTCAAACTATAGTACAAGGCTACAGTAACCATAACAGTATAGTACTGGTACCAAAACAGATATATACAGCACTGGAACAGAACAGAGGCCTCAGAAATAATGTCACACATCTACAACCATCTGATTTTCGACAAACCTGACAAAAACAAGCAATGGAGAAAGGATTCCCTACTTAATAAATAGTGTTGGGAAAACTGGCTAGCTATATGCAGAAAAGTGAAACTGGACCCTTTCTTTACACCTTATACAAAAATTAACTCAAGATGGATTAAAGACTTCAACGTAAAAGCAAAAACCATGAAAACCCTAGGAGAAAACCTAGGCAATACCATTCAAGACATAGGCATGGGCAAAGACTTCATGACTAAAAACAAAAAGCAATGGCAACAAAAGCCAAAATTGACAAATGGGATCTAATTAAGCTAAAGAGCTTCTGCACAACAAAAGAAACTATCATCGGAATGAACAGACAACCTACAGAATGAGAGACAGTTTTTGCAATCTATCCATGTGACAAAGGGCTAATATCTAGAATCTATGAAGAACTTAAACACATTTAGAAGAAAAAAACAACCCCATCAAAAAGTGGGCAAAGGATATTAACAGACACTTCTCAAAAGAATACGTTTATACAGCCAACAGACATATGAAAACAAAGTTCATCATCACTGGTCATTAGAGAAATGTAAATCAAAACTACAATGCAATACCATCTCATACCAGTTAGAATGGCGATCATTAAAACGTCAGGAAACAACAGATGCTGGAGAGGATGTGGAGACATAGGAATGCTTTTACACTGTTGGTGGGAGTGTAATAGTTCAGTTATTGTGGAAGACAGTGTAGTGTTTCCTCAAGGATCTAGAACCAGAAATACCATTTGAACCAGCAATCCCATTACTGGGTATGTACCCAAAGGATTATAAATCGTTCTACTACAAAGACACTTGCACATGTATGTTTATTGCAGCACTGTTCACAATAGTGAAGACTTGGAACCAACCCAAATGCCCATCAAATGATAGGCTGGATAAAGAAAATGTGGCACATACACACCATGGAATACTATGCAGCCATAAAAAAGGATGAGTTCATGTCTTTTGCAGGGACATGGATGAAGCTGTCAACCATCATTCTCAGCAAACTAACACAAGAACAGAAAACAAAACACCACATGTTCTCACTCATAAGTGGGAGTTGAACAATGAGAACACATTGACACAGGGAGGGTAACTCACACACCGGGGCCTCTCAGCGGGTGTGGTGCTAGGGGAGGGATAGCATTAGGAGAAATATCTAAAGTAGATGATGGGTTGATGGGTGCAGCAAACACCATGGCACATGTATACCTACGTAACAAACCTGCACGTTCCGCACAAGTATCCCAGAACTTAAAGTGTAATTAAAAAACAAAATTTTTTAAAAAGAACTCATTTCCTCTGGAGCTAGCAATACCTCACGTTTCTTACAACAAATAACTTGCATTAAAATGCAGTTGACTTTTTCAGCAGAGACCATGATTAAACAACATGAAATTTAGGCAGAATTCTGCAAAAACAGTCCCATGAAATACCTAGAAAAGTTCATTCAGCCTCATTTGGTTTTATGACCTCCCACTGGTTCCTAGAATTTTGCTCCTAGCTGCCTTTCTAGGAAATTTGCAGGATTGCTGAAATGTATAGTCCTGGTAAGTTTTCTCAGTTAGAATTAGCCTCAGCAATGGAAAAGCATCAATACTCAGAAGAGAATCCCTAATGTGGCATGTAGAAGCTCAGGGCTTCAGTGTCTCTTTGGACAGAGGAAGTATGTGAGCTGCAACACCGTGAGCTAACCACATCCGGGATGGGAGGATGTCACACATGGGTGGTACCTTCATGTGTAGTCGAGTTCTCCTGGAATGACAGCAGTCATGACTGGGTGCCCCACCCGCTCACTGGCTTCTATACATGGGGCAGCCAGACTATGTACCTAGGTATTGTCCTATTCTTCTCATCTTCACTCATCTCATCCCAAACCTGGAAGCTGCTGAAAGGTTTCTCACAAAGGCTGTGTGGATGCTTTCTGGAGATGAGTCTTGCCCACTCTGATCAATTCCTTTTTTTTTTTCCTAAATGTTTTCCTATCTCTCTCAGCAGTTGGGTTTAACTGACCTTTGAGAATAGTCTCTCTGACTGAGGCCTGGGGGCATCTACCCAGAGTGGGTGATCTACCACATTGGTTTCAATGAGACACTTTCTGAATAAAAATACTCCATACAGAGGTTAAACATCACTGACTTTGAGTCTTAGCTCCTCGTTTACTGATCAAACGAGCTGAGTTTCCTCATCTGTTAAGATGAAGGTAATAATTGTACCTCTCTCATCAGGACAGTTGCAAAGGTCACATGAATTTATATGCACAAAGATCTTGTTTCCTGCCTGGCAGATAGCAAGTTCTTGTTAAATGTTGAGTAAGCAGAGAACAAAATCACATGGTCTTGTTCATCCTAATGGGGTCACTGATTATACCACATTTGTAAGACATTTTGCTCTGATTTTAGAAACACTTCAGTGGCTATAGATTCCTCCAGGATTTCTTGAGTATGTTTCTCCATTTTCTGCCTGTACAGACTAGTCTAACAGCCTGGATCCTTTGTCATTAAAGCTGTTTGACACGAAGCACACCAGTGGTTCACGACTTATAAGCAAAATGAAACCCCAAACCTAAGAAGATCAAGCTGAAGCGTTTTCCAGGAGGGGACCAATTTTGTCACTTCAACTCATTTGGTCGAGGCAGTCAGAGCATTTGGATGAGCTCCAAAAGGAAATGATGCTAAAACTCTGCTGCACACACCTTATTAACCTCCAAGGCAGTAAAAGCAGTGCCTTTTTTACTCAGGAGAGGAAGCTACTGGAGCCAATGGAGCCTGAGGAGAGTTCTAAGCTCGGCCAGAAACAGAGAATGTCGCATGATTTGAGAAAACGTTGTGTGATTCAAGAAAATGACTGAAAATGTGGAGACAGCTGGCCACCCATGAGGAATTACCTACCAATTCCTTCTTCTTCATGCACTCCATAAGGATGATGAACAGATGCTGAGCTTGGGTTCGAGTGTATGTGAAAGTCTTCTGTATAGTCACCAACAGCTGGTCCCTCAAAGATTCATTTATCAGTCTGCAAATAAAAACAACGTCAAAAGCAGGTCAACCAACTCCTATTCAGCACATATTTCTGAGAAATACAGAGCTCAAGAGGGAATTATGAGGGTTTCCTTTAGATAGGATTTGCTTCTGTATGTTTCTCACAAAAGGTATCTCACCTGTGATAATTAAAAAAGCAAGGTATTTAAACATAAATCAATTTTACCATCTGAGAACCTAACAGAGTAAAGCAGAAAGATTGATTTAGATATTTTATTTTTCTGTTTTTCATATGGCATGTGTCTAATGCCCTCTTCCTCGAGTTTGCTTATCAAAAAATACCTTCAATTCATCATCTGCATCTTGTTGGTAAGAATTTGCTGTAGTACTGTTCTTCACAGTACTATATAAATCTCCTAACAGTACTGCAGGAGATTTAAATTGCAGCATCATCTCTAATTGTGGAAATAAAGACAATATTTCATTAATAAGTTTTTGAACATCCATAAGCAGAAATAAGAGTTATGTTTTCCCAAAAATCATTTCATGTAGGTGGCAGCCTGTCTGGCCTATGATTTAGGTATTCATTATTCACGTCAAGCTTTTGCTCTGTTACAGCGAATAGTAAGACAGTATCATGTTGGCTACCTGATTAAAAGATAGTTTTATGCTGTAGAAGAATAAATGAAAACAGGAAAGAGGCATCATATCCAATCAATGCTCAATTATGTCTTGAATATGAATCAATCACAACTAATTTTTAACTTCTTTCTCATTACCCTGGTGAGAACAGGGCTTTCTCTACTAGCTATTAAATGGCAGGGAAGGAAAACTCACTTTATTAATAACAGATACTATTCAAAATCAGGAAGACAAAGCCGCTTTCAAGGACCAGTGGCAAAATTAGCATAATTTGCTTAGTATTTTACAGATTACAAATTGCTTTCATAATTAACGTATCAGCAACTCCTAAATAAAATAGTAAAATAAATCATGATCTCAGTTGCTGATTACAGGAACCCTACAGACAAAGCGTTTGTTCTATTTCACAGGCGGGACATTTTAGCCAGAAAGAGCCCAGTGTTTAAATTCATGCAGCAAATAAGTGACAGAGTCATCAGAATCAGAACCTAGTTCTTCTGAATATTTGTCCAGGGCTCTTTCCACCACACCATGCTGCCTCTATTTACACCTAGTGGATCACACCACTGCCTCTCTTCATCACTGTGGCTATTTGAGCAGGCAGTTGTGGAGTTTCCTTCAACATGAAAGCAAGACAAACTTTACTGCTTAAAAGAAGGCAAGATGGGGAGCTGGAGGATGTCTTCCGATCAGTGACCTGCTGTGCTCCAGTTTATGTGTGTTTCATCTGAACTCACTAGGTTGGATATTATGACGGCCCTGCTTTGAGGAAGGTGGCATTCCTCATGACAGAACTATACCAACAATCCTGGAAGGTCACTCAGCTGGACGAAGGATTGGGTCACCCCTTCCCCCACTCCTCCAGAGTGTATATTCTATATTAAGAATATACACATTAAGGCTGGGCGCTGTGGCTCCCACCTGTAATCCTAGGACTTTGGGAGGCTGAGGCAGGTGGCTCACTTGAGCCCAGGAGTTCGAGATCAGCCTGGGCAATACAGTGAGACCTTGTCTCTACAAAAAATTAAAAAGTTAGTTGGGCATGGTGGTGCATGCTTGTAGTCCCAGCTACTTGAGATGCTGAGGTGGGAGGATCACTTGAGCCAGGGAGGCAGTGAGCCAAGATCACACCACTGTACTCCAGCCTGGGTGACAGGGCCAGAACCTGTCTAAAAAAAATTTATTATTTCGAAAAAGAGGATGTTTGAAAAAAATAATGCCAGATCTTCTCTTGAGATTATCTTAATTATACTGAATGACTCTGTGGTCTTAGCTGTGGACCAGATTGAAGTCATTTATTCATTCATTCATTCATTTGTTTAGTCATTCAACAAATGCATAGTGAATGTCTACTTAGTGCCACACACCAGCATGTGCCAGGATCAGAGGAGCTATATATGCACTCCCAGCCTTCAATGAGCTTATGCACCAGTCGTGTAGAAAGATGTGAACCAGCAATCCAACCGTGATTGTCAGTGGAAAAGAAGTAGAGAAGCTTGTGGCAAATGTATCTAATCTAATCTAAGGGATTCAGGGAAGACTCTTCTGAGGAAGTGCTGTTTTATCTGAGACATGAATGAGTATCAGCATAGTTGGGGCTGGTAGGGTTGGGTAAGAGAATTCACAGCAGACAAAATGGCATGAACGGGCCCAGTTTGGAAAAAATAAAAGGTCAATATGGCTGGAGCTGAGAGAGCAAATTAAAGAGTGGAACAAAATAGGGCTGCAGAGGGGGTGAGCAGGAACAAGATCAATGGGGGACTTTGAAGGTGATGTTATAGAGATTTTAGGTTTTATCCCCCAGACAATGAAAAGCCATTAAAAGATTTAAGCAGAAGGGTGGCATGATCACATTTGTGTTGCCAATTAATTTTCTTGAAAAGTAAAGACATGCACACTCAGATCTAGGCATGTATCTACCTGACAGGTAACCCAAGTGGATGAGTCTAGAGAGTTCTTCAGTATCAAGCGTCCATTGATTTTGTACAGGATTAACAACAGAAAGGATTCTCCTGATTAGCCACTTGATAGATATAATCATTCATCTGCAGGTGTTTAATTTTGGTAACAACTCAAAATTTGTTTTCTACTACCAACCATCTGTAATGAAATCTCAGCTCCCCAAGTTCATTATATGCTTGAGGGATCTGTCTGACACTTGCATCCAATCTGTCACTTTCTAAAAATTGAGGAATGATGTGCAATTTAGCTGTTTGTGGGTTTCAGTGGTTAGGAGAGCTGAAAGACAGTAAGAATCTCATCCTTTGAGCCCAATTTCCCAGTTGCTGAAGTTATGGCTTTGGCTAGATCATTTAATGACAAGAACCGTAGAATTCTAGAAGTGGAAGGATTCTCTAGGGTGTTTTCCAAAGTGTGGGATACCTGTTACAGGTGGAACAAAGATATTTTGATCTATTCAAAGCATCAAGTTACAGCAATTAAATATTAAATAACTGCCCTTTCTGATTCAGTTCTTTTTCCATCTTTCTGATTGCAACAAGAAGAAAATCTCATTTTTAGTGCTTTCATGCCTTTAACAGCTCCCCAACACTTGTAGATCTCCCCTTTTAACAAAGAAAAGATATTAGGTCTCATGCCTTTGGCAAAAAGAGTTTAATAACATTGTTTTAAAAAAGATCCCACAAAACATTTGATGTGTCTGTAGCACGTCATGGTTTAACGTACACAATGGGCTTCAGAGGTAATCTCACAACAATCTATGAGGCAAGTGGGATTAATTTCATTTTGCAGAAGAGAAACCTATGCCCTAAAGAGGTTAAACGATTTGTGCTAGGTCATAATGCTTGGTGGTCTCACTGTCTGAGTTGAGCCTATTGACTTCAGCCTTGCCCCATGGTGTTGCTATTCCTGATTTTATTCCAAGTCTTTCATAGTTTCCTAATCATCTGTATCAGGGATGATAAGGGGGAACACTAAATGAAGATAATTGCAACATGCATTAAGTAGTTTGAAGAGTATATTTGCAGGCTGGGCTTGGTGGCTCACGCTTGTAATCCTGGCACTTTGGGAGGCTGAGGTTGGTGGATCACTTGAAGTCAGGAGTTCAAGACCAGCCTGGCCAACATTTCCAAACCCCGCTTCTACTAAAAATACAAAATTAGCCAGGCATGGTGGCACGTGCCTGTAATCGCAGCTACTCAGAGGCTGAGGTGTGGGGATCGCTTGAGCCTAGGAGGCAGAAGTTGCAGTGAACTGAGATTACACATCACTGCACTCCAGCCTGGGCAATGAGACTCCATCTCAAAAAACAAAAACAAAAACAGAAACCAAAAAACAAAAAAACCAAAAAACCAGTATTTGCTTCTAATTTTTCATAAGTATTTGCTCTGCTGAACTAGATGTCTTCTGTTTGGGTACAAATGCTTACTCTATCTTCTCTGAAGATCCTTTCTTGGTTTGTAACCATATTCCTTAGGATATATGGAAGCCTGCTTTCTTAAAATTATTATTTTCTAGTTCTTCCCATATTTTCTGTGTAACATTGGAGTGATTTAAAAATTTTTACTGTAATATTTAATCATCAGAAAAATTAGAGATGAGTCTATTTTATATTTCTTTTTATGACACTAGAATATTGACTGAAAATTTCTTGACATCAAAATATGGTCATAGTATTATGTGAAATTTTTATTTTAGAATTGAGCCTTGACAAAGTCATCTTATTTATGGAAACTGTTAATTTGTGGTTCTTATCTACCCATGTTGTTTTCGGTACATCTCAAATTAGAGGGTTTTGTGATAGGAGGTGTAGTCATTGAAGTGAGGCAGATCTCTACACTATGGCATTTGTGTCTCCATTTAAATGCTGCACTTATGATCTGGAGCTTTGTAGATGAGTCACAGAGTAGTTTAAAATAGGCCAATATTCAGCCAGTGCTCAGGGTAACCAACAAAACGCCCCGCAGTTTGCTATTAGTATTCTGTTCAAATGCTCTCAATACAACCCACACATACAAATATATTTCTCCGAATGAATTTAATTACCTGCAAATTACCTGCAATATTAGAGTTTTGTTCCGAGATTTAAAAATGAGAAAATGCATTTAGAATTCAATGGGATTCTAAGAGCTAATCTTAGGTTAATGACTTTCGAGGAAGAGCCCTTCCTGTGACCCCCATAGATATTTTCTATTAGTTTATTCAGTCACAATATGAGAAAATTTTAGCTATATAAAAAAACTTGTTAGTAACACCGCAATTTGGCACTTAAAAGACATAATCACCCACAGAATATCTAATTCTCTAAAGAAAAGTGAAATTTTATCATTTGCTAGAAGCCAAAGCAAATTACTAAATGTTATATTAAGGGCACATAAAGTTACATGTCTTGCCTGAGGTCACAGAGAATGGCATATTTTTCTCCTTCTGCTT